TAATTTGGTTGTTTGAATTTTATTTCAATGTTTTAAGACTACAATTATTAAATTTTTGGTATTAAAAAACCATTTTCGGTTTATTAAATTATTTTATTTTAAATTTTTTAATATCTGCAGCCGTTAAAAAAACAAACATGCTTCTCATTACAGTCTGCAGCACTTTGGTCCACCTCTTCTGCTGCAGAGGGCTGCAGAGGTGGTCCGCAGACTTCAGACAGTTTCACTTCGGAAAAACAAACAACACCTTAGGGTTTAGTTTTGAAAAGGTTAGAAGCAATTTTCAAGTGCTGTCCCAAGCAGAGGACGGGAAGAGGTTTTTAATTTCGAAGGCTGCGAAAAAACAAACAATTGCGGGAAAGAAAGTGATGCGCGTGTGCTGCGCCGCGCAGCACGAAGAGGTTTGAAGAGGTTTTTAATAAAAAACAAACAGCACCTTATTTTACAAGAGCAAAGGGTATAAACACTTTAAAGTTTATACAAATAAAATAGGCTTATCATTTGATTGTATTGGCCCAACAAAAAATCTTAAAGTATTTTTTTCCAAAGCCTTTTACCATTACGTCTTTTTCGAGTTCCGAATCGAATCGGTCGTCGCCTCGTCGTAAAGGAATTGGAACCTCAAACGATCAAAGTCGTGACTCGTGAGTATTTTTCTTTTTTCGCACTTTCTCTTTTTCTTTTATTTTTGTAAACCATAATTTATGAGAGGATGTAAAACTGAAGTTTCTGATCAAAAGGTTGTTTTTGAAAAAATTATTTATCAAATAGATATAGTTTTAACTTATTTAACATATAGGGTGATTTAGCAATTTAGTAAAAAGAAAAAGAAAATACCGTGCCCTAGCTCTCTTCTTACTGAGCGACGAACGCACGCCTCACCAACGTACGCCACACCATCGTCTGCCATCTCCGGCCACACCTCCAGCCGGCGAGTCCACCTCTGGCCACACCAGACGGGGGAGACTCCACCTCCGTCTATATATTCAGCCGGCGTTCCTTCTCAGGTTCGATTTTTGAATTCCATCTCAGCTTCGATTGTTGAACTTTCATCTTCGATTTCTGCCTTTATTAGGTTTATTGATTAAGTTTTTTAAACTCCAAGTGCCTGATTCTTTATCCTTACATAAACTTCCCACAGTTTGGGTTTATTTATTGCACCTGGTTTTACATTAACTACGAGCCTGCTAATGGAGAAGTAAAGGCAATAGCATGTTCTTGAATTGCTGTTTTGTGTGCATAGCCATTCATAATATTCCCCGTTCTCAAGGATTCAGAGTAATTTTAACACATGATATGAGTTGCCCATTCAATAGTTTTCATTCCATATAATGAATGTTTTCATTGCTTTAGTGATAACTACTTCTTCATTCAACAAGCAGCCCTCTGTCTCCATGTAGAAATTTTCATTGATTTCGAATTTTTGAACTTGGTTATGTTAGGTTTCTGATTGCTTCAACATATCAGGTTATTTTCATCTTCTGTTTCTGTTTTCTGAAAATCATACAAATTGATGGGATTTTTGATCATATGGTGAATCGTAATGAAGGAATGTATACCATTCATTTCCTTATTCCATCATACCAAACACTACCTAAGAAGATTGAATACGTTCAGTTACTCCTTCCATATTATAAGAATTGTAACACAATTTTCATCATTACAGATTGTTGATTTTATTAAAAAAAGATTATATTCTTGACTTATAGTGACACTTTTATACAACTATTTGCCTAATTAAACTTCACAATTTCATGTAACAGGTGTAAAATATGTTCCAATTAAGCCAATTGGAGCATACATTGCGACTGAAACCTGATCTTTTGAGCCTTCCTATCAATGAAGCAATTAAGGGAGAGCTCGAGGCTCTTTTCTTAGATAAGGTCTTTAAAATATATCCTAACACATACACAAAATGATCAGTTTTTAACTGTTTCTTTATGTAACAGATTATCAAAGATTTGGGACTTTGCATATCTGTTTATGATATCCAGTCAATTGATGGTGGTTTTATCTTTGCCAATGAGGGTGCTCCAACCTACACAGTACGTCTTAACTTTTAACTTCTATCTCTTAATATTTCTGATTATAAATAATATTTTAATATTATCGACCTTTTTTTGGCAGGTGAAATTCAGGCTGATAATATTTCAACCCTTTGTAGGAGAAATTATATCTGCAAAACTTAAAGAATCTAACGCTGATGGTATACGCTGTAAGTTTCTTTATATATAAACACACATACACACACAGAGAGAATGTTTTTTTTTTTTTTTTTTTTTTTAATTATACCATAAAAAATAATAATCATGTTTATGTCATAATATGATAATTCCAAATTGCAGTATCAGTTGGATTTTTTGATGATATATACATACCAGAGTTCCTACTGCCAAGTCCTATCAGTGCTGAACCTGACTCAGAAAACAAGTGAGTTGTCAATTTTAAATTTTAAAATTTTCAAGGGTTAATTTGTGTCACCTTTTTATCANTTAGGAACCTATTAATAGACGAAACGAAAACAAGTGAGTTGTCAATTTTAAATTTTAAAATTTTCAAGGGTTAATTTGTGTCACCTTTTTATCATTAGGAACCAAGTTAAATGGATATGGAAATATGATGGTGCAGAATATCTTATAGATGGATATGATGAGGTTCAGTATCTTTTAACCAAGTCCAAGAAGTCCTTTCATTGTATACTTTGAGAGCTTACAATTAATTTATAAAAAAAATATTTGTTGTTTTATTGCAGATTAGGTTTCGAGTTCATAAGGTTAAGTTTCCTGAAATCCCAAAAGAGCAAAAAGATTCAAAGCCATTTGCACCTATGGTGGTCATTGTAAGTTGCTAAAATATTTGTTCATGTTTCCCTATTCCAAATTAAAATTGTAAAATTAAATAAATATTGTTGTATTTATTGCAGGGGTCGCTTGTGTGTGAAGCGGGTTTGGGGCCCGTTTCGTGGTGGGTCTAGTTCAAATTTCGTCTTTTTTCAGAATGAATATACCGGGCTTAATTAGTACAGAAATTGTCAAACTACTGTTGACTCTTAGCTTAAAAACACATTATATATATATATATATATATATATATATATATATATATATATAT